CCTGATTCCCCCTGAACCTATCAGGGGGTTTCCCATGGCAACAGGCCCCTCCAGGTAGGCCTGATTCCCCCTGATCGGAGCAGGGGGGTTCCCATGGCAACAGGCCCCTCCAGGTAGGCCTGATTCCCCCTGATCGGGGGAGGGGAGTTCCCATGGCAACAGGCCCCCCCAGGGTAGGCCTGCTTCACCTTCCTACTGTTCCCAGAGAAGGATTCCCATGGTAACACCCCCCTCCCTAAAAGGCCTGCTTTATCCCGCCCAGAGCAGGGAGGGAGCAGTTCCCAGGGCAATCCCCCCCCCCCCATCCAGACACCCAAAGCATCCAAGGAGAGGTCCATCCAGGAAGGGGTTCCCATGGCAACGCCTCCCTACCAGACCTCACACCCCGCCCCCACCAGACTTGCTTCACCCCCCCACTCAGAACAGGCTGAGGGGGATTCTCATTACACTGAGGACCCCAACCAAGTTCCCGCTAGAATAGGGTCTCTTCTCACCCCTATCCCGAGCAGACAGGGAGAGGTTCCCGTTTCAACGGGTGTCCCGATCAGGCTCCCGCAGGACAGGCCTCTCATCCACCCATAGCAAACAGGTAGAGGTCCCCATGGCAACAAGGCTCCTCACCACGGCAAGCACAGTCTCACCTCCACCTAGGACTGCACAGGCCACCCCATTGACAGGCCACCTCCTTTCCAGATCAGTCCCCTCCCCAAAGTACTGTTCTCTCTGCCCCCAGGGCAGATCCCTTCTTAGCACAGAGCTGAAACTTCAGTCTGGGTTGGATGAGGACAAATCAAAGCCTGCCTCATCTCCCCAACCATACTGCTGGAACATTTGGTCCGTCACCTTAGCTCCATACCGGTCCCTATTCAGAGCAGTCACTGTCCCTTCCTTTCAGCTGTTCAGGGTGCTCACCATCTCCTTTCCCCCTCTACCTCCTTATCTAGGGCAATTGTCTGCCTTACCCCAAATCCACCACTGGTTGGTATTCAGGTTTATCAGTGTGTTTTACCTGTCTTACCTAGGAGGACTCACAGGGCTGCCTCCAGAAATCTTGAGATCTTTGGCTGTGGCAAAGGAACCAAGTCCAGAAGCGCTGTGAAATTGGGGTGGAATAGATGTAGAGGAAGCAGAGAGATGGGACTCTGTCCAGACATCCTTGTGCCCCACTCTTACACAAATTCACTTACATTCAGGATCCAGTCATTTCCCTGATTTAAAAATATATAATGTGATGTCAACTTTTTTCTTGTTCTCAAAAGCCAGAAACTAGGAGGAGGAAGATGTAGATGAGTGGAAAACCTCAGGCATCTTGTTGACAGCCTATAAAGATGTCCATTTTGGGTTAAGATAGAGACAGACTGTTCAAGACCATTGAAATCCAAGGCCTCAGGAGTGTTGCTGGAAGGAACAGAACACCGACTCAGAAGCTAGGGCTACGAAGCCTATGATCAGTGGTTGTTGATTGAATACCCCTATGTTTTATGGTGTTGTGCATTGTGATATGTGTGGAACTCTTACCTGGGGCTTTTTCTCCTGGTGGAACCTAGGCAGGTGGAGAGATTGTGGTCATAACTGTCGGGGAGCTGTTTGTAACGGCAGTCATAGAGTCTAATGGTTTTGCTTGACTCCTCTTGTATGACTGAGCAGGGGACAGCAGAAATATTTTGACAAGGAGCAGGGAAAGGAGACGGGAGCCAGAAACACACATTCTGGAGTGCTCGCTGATGTCACACTTAGCTACAAACTTTACCTGATCGAGTGCTTTGTTACAACGAAGGTTATTTTCCTGTCAATCATTTTATGCTCTTTTTTACTTCTAGTGCTGGTGAAAGGGGCCAGATTGACAACCCCGGAGACATCCCCACAAGTACATCAGAGGCAACTAGAGAACCAACTCCCTTAAAAACGCACTACACTGGGTGCCTTCTCCCTTCCCTGGAGGGACACAGTTTAGCGGTAAGAGGGGGCTCGCTCATTCCTTGGTCTTTGCTGCGGCTTCCCACCTGGCAGCCAATTAGTGCCAATAGGGATGGGGGATTGTTGATTTTTTTTTTAATGTGGACATATGGCCACTAGGCATTGGACTGAGCCCCCCAGCTCATTTCACACAGGCCAGCGTTTAATGCTATATACTAATAAAATTCCAGCTGATTTCTTCTGGAAACTTTGAGGATTGGATCCCTCTTTTCCAGTACCTTGTTTCCAAGAGTGGGCAGAACCACCTGCTTTAGAGGAAAGGGCAAAACAAACCCTTTAGTAGACACTTGAGGAATAGCCTAACCATAGAGGAGAAATTTCTCCCCCCCCCCCCCCCATGAAAGGTTTGTGTCTGCCCAGAAGCAAGGAGGTTTATATCCTTTTTATATATATGAGATTATACATATAATATATATAAGTAGTATATTACATTTTTAACCTATCTAACATAACTATGAACATTCTTATTATCCATATAAAGTTTGGCTCCAGAAGGTAGGAAGGGTTGGGTCTGAGGTTCTGTTCCGGCCCAACTTTCTGTTTCTGTTCCACCTCCTTATTCCTCTGTCTGAAAGGAAACAGCATTTAAAAAAAAATCAGGGCTGGTGAAATACTTTCTAGGTCTTAATTCATCTGACCTATTTGATTTCTCCTTTCAGGGTCCCCTTTCTCAGATGTTCCTGGAAGAGAAGGCAGGTAAATAAATATGCCTCCCACCACATTTCATCTGGACTCTGTCTAGCCTCTCACTCTCACCCTGTCTGTTCATGGACCATTGTGGGGTAGGATGTTTTTAGGGGTGTCACTGGTGTTCTGGCATCTGTAGGAGGGAGTCAGGACTCCTGGGTTCCACCATTCCCAACTCTGCTACTGATTCACACTGGGCAAATCAGTACCCATCCGTGTGCCGCAGTTTCAGTGGAGACAACAATGCCTCTCTCCCAGGCAGATTGCGGAGTTTAGTTCATTAACGTCTTTTAAAAACCATGCATTGAAGGTGCTAGAACAGGGTAAGTGCCTTTCCAATTTGACATAGATTCCCCCCACATACACACATTGGGAATGGAGCACAGATTAATACAATGGCTTTTTAACAACTTCAAGCTTATCTAAACCCATCTTCTTAAATGCTGCTTGACACAGGATCCCTTTCAATCCCGCAAAGCAGCAGGGGAGGAGACTAAGGTCTGTGGTGCTTATAAACAAGTGATTAAAAAAACTAAGCCCATGCTGACAAGATTGCAATCAACAAAACAGCTACAGAGCCCTGGCTTAACAATGCAACGAGCCCTCTAGTGGAAAAGCTTCCCTGAGCCCAGGCTTCCTCTGCATGCTGAGAAAACTCAACTTCAGCCTCCTTGGGGAATCTTAGGCTTTGTCTACACTGCCAATTGAATGGCAAAACTTTTGTCATTCACAGGTGCTTAAACATCCCACCTCCCCAGCCCCAAAGACAAAAGTGTAAACAGCTCGTTGTCAGCAGGAGGGCTGTCCTGTCGACAACGTGAACCCTGCTCGTAGGGGGTGGAAGTATTTTGTCTGCAAAAGTACCGACAAACAGCGTTTACACTGCTCCACTTTTCACTAAAAGCTGTGTAGTGTAGACAAAGCCAGAGATGTTTTTAATTCTGAGGGCAGTTCATCTTTCAAGTGACACTGCCGCCTCCTCTTTGAATTCTAGTCTGTAACGTACAGTTTTAACAGCTTAGATCACGGTGGCTAGGCCGCTGCAGTCCAAGGCAGAAAGGAGTCTGGTTTAGTACTAATTAATAATAGTTTGCTCTTTTCCAGCACCTTCTGCTTGAGGAGCTCCGAGTGCTTTACGCACTTTAACTAAGGCCCAGGGCCGGCGCTTCCATTTAGGTGACTTGGCGGTCGCCTAGGGCGCCAGGATTTGGGGGGGCGGCATTTTGCCGCTCTCGGCGGCAATTCGGTGGCGGGGGGTCCTTCCGCGCTCCGGGTCTTCAGCGGCAATTCTGCGGCAGGTCCTTCACTCGCTCCAGGACCCGCCACCAAAGTGCCCTGAAGACCGGGAGCGCGGAAGGACCCCCCGCCGCAGAATTGCTGACAACGACCAGGAGCGCGGAAGGACCCCCGCCTAGGGTGCCAAAAATCCTGGCACCGCTCCTGCTAAGGCCAAATCTACACTGGAAAAGGTTTGCTGGCATAGCTACAGGTCAGACTAGATGATCACAATGGTCCCTTCTGGCCTTTTAATCCGTGGATCTAGTGCAGACGCATTTTATGCTGGCAAAAAAGTGCTTTTGCTGGCATAGATTATGTCAGTTCCCCGAGTGAAATAAGCGATGCCAGCATAACTCCGTCTACCCGTCTTTTGTCAGCATAGAAAAGTCATCCAAAAAATCACCCCCCAACCACATTACTATACTGACAACATTGCTAGTGTAGACCTCTCCTAGCTGAATCTCCCAAAAGAAGGGGGGAGATAAAGATACCTGCATTGTATAGCTAGGGTGCAGACAGCTCAGGTGTTGCGTCTAAGGTCACACAGTGAATCAGTGGCAGAGGTGGGAAGGGGATGCAGGCGGACACCCTGCTCTGACCACTAAGCCAACACTGACTTCCAGCTCCCCTGATCGAATCGCTGCGTGACATTTGCCTCTTTCTAGGTTTGGTTCCTAAGTTCCTGCATCTTGAGGTGAGAGCAGCGTTGAGGAAGCACAGCAGGGCTTGCTCCACTTCAGACCGTGTGGCTGCTCCAGGAGCTCGTTGACCTATTGGGAGGAGAGTAGCTTTAACTAAAGGACAGTGAGCGCATTGTGGGCTCTTAAACTCCCCAAGGCAACAAAGCAAATTGCCTGCTTGGCTTCCTTGTTTGAGCATGGTTATCACTAGGAACGTGCACAGCTCTGGGGGACGATGTTGATTACTTGGATGCTGCAGCTCAGCGAGCGGAGGGAGCACAGAACGCTGCTTCCTCAAAAGTCCCACAAAAACAGGGATTTTGATGCTTCCACCCCAGGCTCTATGTGTCGCAGTGGGTCACATTCAGAGCTTTAACTGCTTGACGCTGTATCTTGTACAATGGGATCGGAGACGAGCAGCTGCCGCAAGCCATTTGCTGAGAGCATCGGGTTAGATTAGACTTGAGCTCAGATCAGAACCCCCCGAATGAGACACCTCCAAACTTTGGGAAAGTTCAGATCTGGGGCTTGGGGTCGTCTCATGCGACCTGGGACGGAGATCCTGGTGATTAAAGGTACAGGGTATGGGGCTATAGTTGCATTAACAGAGTTCTCCTGGGATACAGGGTGTGTTACTGACAGACTGGCTCCTTACAATGCAAAGCAGTATTCCCAGGGCAGACGAGAGAGGGAGGGAAAGGGTGGACAATTGTAGCAGGGACTCAAGCACATGGGGACCCCCCCCCCAAACATCTGTGTAAATAAAGTGAAACAGGAGGAGGTGGGGCCCCAAATTGCTTTCAGCAGGCCTGCCTGTAACAGTGCCCTCAGGTGAGGAGGGCAGTTGGGTTTTCTTTTCCTGATAACTGGGCTTTTGTTGTGCAGGGTGCCGTGCTCTGTGTTCCCCACCCCTTTCCCACCAGGGGAAGGTGGATTTGCAGAGAAATTAGTGCTTAAAACGGAGGCCTTGATCCCTCTGGGGAAATGAGCAAGCTTGATCCAAACAAGATTAAGTAAAGCAGCCCCCTCGTCATGGCGCATCTGTTGTTCTGGGAACTTTAGCAGTTAATGCAGGTTGAGAAGCTGTGCGCACGAATGCAGAACTTTTGGATGGCCTCCTTGCTCCTATTTTCCCAGCAAGACGGAAACCCCAGGTGCCTGAGGAGCAATCCGAGTTCAGACATGCCTACAATACTGAGGTCTGTCCTTTCCGCTGGCTGCAGCTCCTTTGGGAGTGGCAGTTCGGTCAGCCAGTTCCAACCTGCGCTGACTGGCTGGCTTTGCTCGGTGGTTGAGCTGTGCTGATAACCAGCCAATAAACACAGACTGAGGGAGGCTCAGACTGGAATCGAGGGAGGGACTGGGAGGCAGGACTCCTACAGGTTCTGCTACTGACTGGGGAAACGGGCACGGAGCGGCAGTCACTTGTCTAAGGATGCATAGTGGTTCAGTGGCAGAGATGGGAACAGAATACAGGAGTCCTGCGTTCCTGGCCCCTTCTCTACCCACTAGACGATGCTGTCTCAGTGACGGACAGTGGAGAGATTTAATTTAGAGATGCCCCTCGGTGAACCTGAAGAATCAGGGACTGTGTTTCTTGTGGCAGTCAGCTGGGGGGAGCTTTTATTTTAAACCCTTTGTTCCATCTAGTATATCTGTCTAGTAGCCCCCGCTCCAATTATAGGATTGGGGAGACAGCCCCTGAGCAGTGGACGCAGGCTTTCCCTAGCCACAAACATTTCTGGCACTCACACTCCATGTGCATTTCTTTCCAGGGTGACCAGCAAGTAAGCTGTGTTGGGATGGATGAGCCCAGAGCCTCCTGGGGAAGCAAATACCGCTGGCTGCCTCGTGCGGAGACCACAGCCACGTAACATCGTTCCCCAGGTGAACAGACCCAGCTGCCTCGCAAGATGCGCATCACGTTCTGTCAGGGGGTCCTAGCGCTCGCCATTGTCATCAATCTGCTGATACTGTACTACGTCTCGAGGCTGCAGCAGCGGATGTTGCACAGACACAGAGACCACGTCCAGCCTAGCTCCCGGCTGCTGCCTGTCCCCCAGAGGCCCGGGGTGACCGTCATCATCAGGGAGTTCGAGGACTTTGAGAACTACGTCCCTGATGTGGTGCAGGCCTTCCTGAAACAGAAGCCGGAGCAGCCAGTCATGGTGGCAGCAGATACCTTGCCGTATCCTCCGCTTGTATTACCGGATGCTCCCAACGTCCAGCTCGTGATCCTCAAGCCAGCCCCTGACCAGCCTGCCCATGTGTCCAGGCCTGATATGTACGTGAAGACGGAGTATGTGGCCCTGGTGCCTGATGGGGTCAAGGTTGATTCCACAAGGCAGCTGGATCGTATGTTAGAAGAGTTCAAAGCCAACCAGGGCAGAGTTCAAATGGTGGCAGCGCCCGTGCAGTCCCTCGCTCCCCTCCAGTGCTTGAACCTAAAGGTCAGCCTTAGAAAGTGGACTGCCGAATACAGCGTAGCGCCTTCCACCAGGCTCTGCACAGCTCTGAAGGGAGACGCCGTGATTCTTCTACGCACAAAGGATCTCTTCAACCTTTCCACTCCCTTGGCCAAGCCCCTGCTGACCTCCCTCTTCATCCAGACATCGCTGCGGGGCTGGACGGTCCGAATCCTTGACGTCTCCTTCTCCTCAGCCCACCAGCCTCTGCTCAGCTCCTCGCACAACCAATGGAAGGCAGAGAACCGCGCCAAAGCCAGCCGGCTGCAGCTCTTCCGAGACTTCGGCATCAAGCGGGTTCTCCTGGAGGATGGGAAGCAGCAGTGGTTTGGGTGCAGCAAAGAGACGCCGCGTTGCTTCGGCACCGTCCATGATGATACGCCGGAATATCTCTACCAGAACCGCTGGACCCCGCCTTGCTGTCTACAGGCCCTGAGGGAGACGGCAAAGTACGTCATCAACATCTTGGAGACCTCCGGGGTGCGTTATTGGCTGGAAGGTGGGACGCTACTAGGAGCTGCCCGACATCAGGACATCATCCCATGGGATTATGACGTGGATCTAGGGATATACCTGGAGGACATTCCCAACTGCGACCTCCTCAGAAACGTAGAGTCTGGCTCCATCGTGGACGAGAAGGGCTTTGTTTGGGAGAAGGCCATCGAGGGCGACTTCTACCGTGTTCAATACAGCGAGCACAACCACCTGCATGTTGACCTCTGGCCCTTCTACCCCAAGAATGGGCTGATGACCAAGGACACGTGGATGGACCACCGGCAGGACGTGGAGTTCCCGGAGCACTTCCTCAAGCCCCTGTTACCCCTGCCGTTTGCTGGCTTCACGGCTCTGGCGCCCAACAACTTCCGGAGCTTTTTGGAGCTGAAGTTCGGCGCAGGTGTGATCGAGAATCCAGAGTATCCAAACCCAGCCCGGAAGAAGCTGGATAAGGGGAAATAAGCAAGGACTCTGGCTTCTGTCTCTGCATTGGGGCCCAAGAGAGCATTAGACTCTGAGGCCCAGGGAGCAGGGATCCCTCTCTCTTGAACATAACACTGATACCAACAGAAAGTATGAACCATGCTGCTGCTAAGGGAGCTGTCTGCCCACTGCTGCAGGTACGGCCCACTAAAGCCAGGAGAGTTTACGCTCACCTTTGGGGCTGGGGGGATTGTCTGAAGGGCTTGTGGCTGTTTGGAGGTCAGACACTTTGAACACCAAGACAGGACAATTAACAAAGCAACCCAAGGGAGACCTCATGGAGATGCTGTCTCAGCGCGTCTCCCAAACTCCACAGGCTGTGGGCCTTGTGGGCCCCAGCACCACAGGACGTGCTGGCCACCGAGTCTGACTGACAGTGCTCCCAGTGTCCCTGATTGATCCAGGCACGCTACTTAAGCCTGGAGGGAACACCAGGAAGTTGTTTGTGAAAGGCAGATCCCCAGCCGGCTGCTAGGACAGACTTTGCTCCTACCTGGTTTCTAGCCTCGCCCCGGCCCTGCTGCAGCCCGTTCCCTATCCTGGCATTTGACTCCAGCTCTGATCCTCGGCTCTGGTTGCTGGCGTCTGACTTCGGCTCCACCCATTAGGCCTAGCTGCCCATGCCCTGGCTGATCCCCGGCTCAGTTTTTTGAGGAAAAAGGAAAGGAGAAAGTGACAATCGTTACAGCCAGGAGTTGGAATATTCTCATTTAAAGATTCAGTGGGATGTTTCGGTTTAGTTTAAGCCTTCCTGTTAGAGCTCTGGGAACCCAAACAGGGCAGCGCGGGATTAATGTGGGAGAACGGGGAACCAAAACGGCCTCTAAACAAGAAGTGAAAATAACCAGCCACATTTCGTTGTCCCAAGCTGAACAAAGTGTAGAACCGTAACTAAACTGCCTCCACAGGGTAAAGGAAATTGAGTTTATTAACCCTTTGTTTTACTCATGGAAGGCGTCAGGAGTAACAGAAATGCGAGAATTTAATAAGAAAATCCCAGGCATTTGCCCCTTGGTCGGGGGAACCATCCAAATGGGAGCCAGGAGACCTGAGTTCTATTCTCTGACTCCCTGTGTGACGCGTAGGACAACGTCCTTCCTCTCCCCTGTAGAATGGAGCAATGATACTTCCCTCCCTCTCCCGTGGGGAAGCGCGAGGTTTGCTGTGTGTGTGTAAAGCTGGGGATCTTCAGCTGAAAGGCAAAGTCCTTAATATAATTTGAATACACTTACGGAACATCTGGTCCAGCAGCCAGTGCTTAAAAATCCTGAGATTGGCGGAAGACTCGTGAGATTGTAAAGAATAGTAAACGTTGGGTTCCTTCACTCTGCTTTCTGGTTATTAAGCCTTTAGGGGGCCCTTGGATCAGGTTTTCAAGCTTTTCTGTGCAAGCAGGAGGGACAGACGCTTTTTTATTTTTCAGTGAAACCTGAGATTTTCACCCAGTCGCAGTTCCTGGAGCTGTGGCTTCAGTCCAGTAACTCCTCACTTATCGTTGTAGTTCTGTTCCTGAAAAATGCGACTTTATGCGAAACGAGGTTAAGCGAATCCAATTTCCCCATAAGAATTCATGTAAATAGGAGGGGTTAGGTCCCAGGGACATTTTTTTCACCAGACAAAAGACATTCTATACACCTACAGTATCAATTCTAAACAAACAGTTGAATATTGTACACAGCAATGAATGATTGTGAAGCTTGGTTGAGGTGGTGGAGTTAGAGGGTGGGCTATTTCCCAGGGAATGCCTTACTGCTAAAGGATGAATTAGCACTTGGCTGAGCCCTCAAGGGTTAATACGCTGTTGTTAATGTAGCCTCACGCTCTACAGGGCAGCCTGGACTGAGGCAGGAGGGAGGAAACACAATAGAGGCAGGGCAGTAGCTGCAAACACTTCCCTGCAAAAACCGAACATGAGCCTACGCTATCCAGCTGGAGCGCACCACTCCCTCCTCCTGACAGCGCATGCACGGCTACACAGGTGCTGGCTTTCCAAAGTGCCGGGGGTGCATGCATGAGTGAGAGCGAGAGACGTGCATTGCCCCTTTAAGTATGCTGACCCCACTACAAGCACGTTGCCCTTTTAAGCAGATCGGCCAGGAAGCAACAGCTTCCAGCAAGCTCCCTCCTTTCTGTCCCCAGCCCTGTCCCCCTCCTCCGTTTTGTGGAGAGGGGGTACGGAGCAGGAGGGGGGCAGGAGCAGGGGGACATCCTGATGTCAGCACCCCTCTTCCGCCCCCTCCCTCCCCTTCCCCAGCAAGCAGGAAGCTCCCGGGAGCAGCTCAAGGCAGAGGGCAGGGCTGGAGCAGGGAATACCTTACAGGGAATTTAGGGGAGCTGATGCGGGGGGGGGACTGCCAGCTTCCCCTGGTTCTAATCCCCACAAGGGGGGGCTGCTCTTCCAGCAGGCAGCTGCCAAATGATGTTATAAGGGAGCATTGCGCAACTTTAAACAAAGCCTGTTCCCTAATTGATCAGCAACATAACAACAAAACCACGTTAACCGGGACGACTATAAGTGAGGAGTTCCTGTATCTAAATGCTACAAGACACAAGAGTCAGCAACACTGATTAGCGCAGACAATGCAGTAGAAATGCAGTCGAACCATCTAGATCCTCTACCTATAACAATCTCTTCTGCTATCGAAAAGGAACCGCAGGAGTCTTTGCCCTAAAGGATCACAGTTAGAAATGTAGTGAGGGGAGCAGATTAATTTGACTCTGGCCCCGTTCCCCATACCCACACGGCCTTGAAGTCAGTGGAAGTTCTGCCTCAGGAAGGACTGTAGACCTAGTCCCTTGGTTTGCAGAGTTCAGGACAAAGTCCACCAAGGGGGTTATTTTAAATAATCATTAACACTCAAAGTGATTTGCCCATCTGATTTTCTTGGCATCTCCTGCCATCTGGTTCAGCCTTTGTTTTGATCACATATGGGGCTGTGAACAATATCAGAGTTTAAGCCACCATATCTCGACCTCCTTGAATCCAGATCCTCAAAATATTTAAGCACCTAACTCATTAATTTCAGTAGAAGTTAGGAATCTAAATACTGTTCAATGATAATATCTTTCACTAAGTCTTGGAGCACTGAGGAAGTTCCAGAAGACTGGAAGAAAGCTAATATTGCACCAATATTTTTAAAAGGTAAATGGGATGACCAGATAATTATAGACCTGTCAGTCTGATATCAATCCCAGGCAAAATAGAGTGGCTGACGTGGGAAGGTAATATGATTAATGCCAATCAACATGGGTTTATGGAAAATAGACCCTGTCAACCTAACTTGATACCTTTTTTTGATGCGATCACAAGTTTGGTTGATAAAGAGAACAGTGTTGATGTAACAGACTTCTTGTGAGGCGTTTGACTTCGTACCTCATGACATTTTGATTAAAAAACTAGAAAGCTATAAAATTAACTTGGCACATTTTCAATTAATTCAAAGCTCGCTCACTGATAGGTGTCAACATGTAACTGGAAGCCGGGAATCAGCCTTGCACAGTTGTATTTCTAGGAGGCCCCACAGGGATCATTGGTCCTACATTATTTAACCTTTTTATTAGTGACCTGAAAGAAAACATACGTTGCTGATAAAGTTTGCAGATGACACAAAAATTGGAGTGGTAAACAGTGAAGAGAACAGGTCACTGAGAGAGAGCGAACGGGATCACTTGGTAAGCTGGGTGCAAGCAGACCGTAGGCATTTTGATATGGCTAAATGTAAATGTGTACATCTGGGAACAAAGAATGCAGGCCGTACTCCCAGGATGGGGGACTCTAGCCTGGGAAACAGTGACTCTGAAAAAGATTTTGGGCAGGGGGGCAGACAATCAGTTGAACATGAGCTCCCAGAGCAATGCTTTGGCCAATAGGGCTAATGCAATCCTTGGATGCATCAACAGGGGAATCTTGAGTAGGAGCAGAGTGGTTATTTATTTCCCCTCTGTATTTGGCACTGGTGTGACCACTGATGGATCCTGTGTCCCGTTCTGGTACCCACTATTCAGGAAGGGTGTTGATAAACTGGAGAGGGTTCAGAAAAGAACCACGAGAACGATTAAGAGATTAGAAAACCTGCCTTATAGTGACAGACTCCAAGAGCTCAAACTATTTAGCTTAACTGTTGCCTGACCTATTGATTGTTTATTGATTATATTAATTACTTAAGAATTCCCCATTAACATTCTGAGGTTTGGTAGGTTCTTGTCTCCAGCTCAGGCCCGATATTATTAAAATTAAAGGTCAGTTGGGAACCCGGGTGTGCTTGGTTGCAATACTCGCACTCGTTTTATTAACACGACTGGTAAAATTGCAACATGCCAAGCCAGCAAGGTAGATTGAGATAATACAGAAAGTGCATTTGAGCATCTATATACTCACACCATCCCTTGCTGAACAACCAGAAGTGTTAGTTATTATCCTCCTCGTCACCATCACCAGTGGTCGTAACCCTGGCACCTCCCAGGAGTTCCATCTCCCAAGGCACTCAGGCCAGGATACAACTTTTAAACGGTGTTACACAGACGCCACTATGCCTAATGTTCAGGAGGGGCTTCTCCCCTTTTCCTCGTTTGTATTTCCTCACCCTACTGTGATTGGGAGCCCCTTCTCCCATAGACTACTAGCCTGTTTACCTCATGCTTATTAGCATATACGTCAATTAGTTACCACGGCACCCTTGTGGTCAGCCATCTGCTGATGTTCCTAACTTAACATATCCCCCCCAAGCTGATAGAAACTAGCATCTCGTGACTACCTGAGAGCAGTTTAGTCACCATAGTGTTCTGTCCTGCGAGATCTTCTGAGCCAGGGTCCCTCCTAAGGTTAGCTGTTCATGCTAACGTTTTGGGGGCCATATGCCTTGCTTAGTTTAGCTAAGCTATTGTCTTGGAAGCCTGTCTCACTGCGTTATTGCTTTAACTTATACTCCTGCCTTACCTAGCAAACACCTACAGGCTACATAAAGAGAAGGTTAGGGGGAGGCTTGACCTCAGCCTACATGGGAAACAAATAGTTAATGACAGGCCCTTCAATCTAGCAGGGAAACGCCTACCACAACTCAAGGGCTGGAAGCTGAAACTAGATGGATTCAGACTGGAAAGAGCATACATTTTTAACAGTGAGTAATTACGCTTATCAAGGGCCATGGTGGATTCTCCATCGCCTACAGTTTTTAAATCCAGACGGGATGTTTTTTCTAAAAGCTCCACTCTAGGAATTATTTTGGGGCAGTTCTCTGGCCTGTGCTATCCAGCAGGTAAGGCGAGGTGATCCCAATAGTCTCTTCTGGCCTGGGGAATCTGAACTGTTGAGGATCTGGGCCCAAATGGGAACTGGTTTGATCTTTGCGATCGCTTTGGAGCTCCACGGTAACCCCCAGGCTCAGCAATGCTGTGTTTAAAACTCTCCCCAACTGACAGCTGCCCCTGGGATCTGTCGGAAAACATCCCCGAGACACGCCAGGGCAGTTCTCTCGCTCCATTCCTTGCTGTAAAGAAATCCACAAGGTTGTAATGATGGAGCCCTAGTTAGAAATCTAGAATGAGAATAAATAAATGCGACAAAGAGCCCTGTGGCACCTTATAGATTTACAGATCCAGACTAACACGGCCACCCCTCTGATAATAAATAAATGGAGGCTCATGGCATGGACTGGTGGCTTTTGAAGAAATGGCTAGGCCCAGCTCCTCAAAGGTATTTAGGTACCTAACTCGCAGGAAATTGAGGGGAGTCAGGTGCTTGCAAGTGCCCACATCTGCACAGATCCCCTGCATTTTAGCATGTTTCCTTCACCCTATCGTCAGTTCTCGCCTATGAGCCCTTGGTTTTGTTGCACTCCTAGATGCAGTGTATATCCCCTTCCCATTGATGAAGTGGGCAAGTGGCGAACTAATTAATAAACTTGCACTGTTTGTCTTGAGCAGTGCAAGATGGTCTATTCCTGAGGCACAAAGCTGGGAGCTGGGGGGGATTGGCTGGTGCTTTTCTCTGTGTGATTCACGAGTGGTCTGGGAGCATTCATTCATTCTAGCCGGGTGTGGGGCTCCACATGCGGTTGTGCTGAGTGATCACAGCGCCCGGAGGGGTTTGCTGCTTGTCACTAGCAAAACATTGTGAGGACAGCCCAGGCTGGAGAGTTAAGGTGGCACAGTGGTCCCACAGTCCCAGGCTGCACCCCAGGGATCCCGTCACAAGAATATTGTCTCCCAAACAGTCTGAGAGGGGTAAAAACAAATCCATATAGCCATCAGGGAGATGCTGGAGGGAGAATAGGGCAGAAGGTCCCAGCGACAGTAAAAATATGTCCACTAGCTGTAGTGCAGCTGGGGGGAAGGGAAGCTGGGTCCTCTGCCCGTTGCAGAGGAAGTAAGCCAATCCACTACTGGAAAAGAGAAGCGGGAATGCCTCCCGCCCAGACAGGCAGGGTTGATTAGGAGGAAGATGAGGAGTTGCACTGAGGGGCCAAAGCAGGCGCCGAGGGACGAGCGCCGTTCCAGTGAATGCGGCCTCATCCCAGGACTGGCTATTACCATCGAGAATCCAGCTGTGTAGCCCTTCCGCAGAGACCTGGGCCTGGCTTGTTTACCGCAGGGCCCGCCAAACCCATGCAGTGTAGCCCAGTTCTTGCCAGCAGAGGGCAGCACCGACCATCCTCTTCACATGCCATTGCTGGACGCAGATGGGAAATCCGTATCCAGTCTGAGCATTGGGGGCTGCCCTCCTGGCCTGAGCAGGGGCAGGGTTACAGGGGAGCCCGGCTCAAGCTCTCTGTGTGGGGAGGAAGCCGTGGGGCAAGACAATGGGCAAATTAAGTGGCCTACAAGTTAAGCCGATGCAGAGCCCCATACAACCTTCTGCTGTTCTGCAGTCCCCTTTTTGACTGGCCCGGTGTAGCTGGGTCACCTCCCATAGACCCAGAACTATACTGGGGAGACCCACCCCCCTCTCTCTGGGGGAACTGGTGCTTCTCAGAGCCCCTGCCATGAGGCTTTGGGGAAAAACTGCAGAAAGGAACTAGCTCGAGACTCCAGCCGGGAGCAGCAGGGGACGCTGCAGCGGACTGGACTTTCCTCCCACCCTCTTCCTCTCTGCTTCCCCCTCCCTTCCTAAACCCACCCAAATAAAATCATGGCACGAACCTGCCCTTTGATGCCCTCACATTGTTCACGCTCCACCCTTGCCCCAGCCTGGCTCTGTCCAGGCTTATTCAATTGTCCACATGGAAGGGCAGACTGCTACCACTTGTACAGCCCCTAGCACAATGCCATCCCCTGTAATAAACATGATTAACAACAATAAAGGGAGTATAGATCAATCCTTTAAATCTGGCCCACAGTGGAAGAACAGCTTGGGCTATGCTTCCTTATGCACTTTGGGTAGCTTGGGAGGTTACCAATAGAAAGTCAGGTCCTGTCTTGCCTACCCTAGATGATGCTGTGGCCAACTGGAGAACCAGGAGGTGTAAGACAGACACTGGGAAGGGACACTATGTTGGAAAAGGCCTAGTTCACAGCAGTCATCCTAGAGCAGGGGTAGGCAACCTGCAGGACGCGAACTGATTTTCAGTGGCACTCACACTGCCCGGGTCCTGGCCACCGGTCCGGGGGGGCTCTGCATTTTAATTTAATTTTAAAAGAAGCTTCTTAAACATTTTACAAACCTTATTTACTTTACATACAATAGTTCTATATTATAGACTTCTACAAAGAGACCTTCTAAAAACATTAAAATGGATTCCTGGCACATGAAACGTTAAATTAGAATGAATAAATGAAGACTCGGCCCACCCCTTCTGAAAGGTTACCGACCCTGGGCTAGAGGCGCTCCTCTTCCAACCCCAACAGAACAAGACTGGATTGGGCCGGTATTTAAAGGACAACAGTCAGTTGGAAGCAGTAGTGTGGAAAAAGAAAGGAGAACGAAAACAATCTTTATTCATTGCTAAGCAGAACACAAGGGCAGCACCCCCTGCCAGCCCTCCTGCTGTCACCTGCTCGCCAACTTTCACCTGAAGTCATCCAGTGTGCAGCCAGCAGTTTAATGATTATCACGCTCTGCTGTGCCAAAGCCCTTGCAAGTGAGTGGAGGCAGATGCCAGGCCCCCAGAGGCTACAAGCCAAGGCGGGTGCCGCTTTCGGCTTTCGGAGACTTGCTCGCACTGGGTGATTGTGCAGCATTGGATTTCCCTAGGATGGGGGAGAGCAAAGGCTCAGGGGCTGGCTCCGGGGGAGGCAGCCTCGGGCAGGAAAGCAGACGGGAACTGTATGGCTGGGCCAACCTGACTCACCGCAGATGGGAAGCGAAGCCCAGCCGTGGCACAAATCAGCAGCTGGTCCCATACCCAATAGCCCAGGGACTGCATAAACCAGCGTTCTCTGCTTTTTCCACGTGCTCGGACCTGGTTCTTTACTCTGTCTTTATTGACCTCCCCTCCCCCACATACTGTCTATGATGCCCATCATCTGAGGGTTAGCTCACTGCTCCCCCTCACCTCCGCTGCCAGCCTAAAGGGGGCCCTGGCACAGGCCCTACTGGGGCCCCGCAGACCAGCCACAGCAGCAGAGCCCGCTTGTTCCAAGGCCACGCTAGGAGGATCACAGCGTACAAAGCACAAACACACCCGTGGAGTCTTGTTTTATTGTTTACACAGTCAAGACTAGACACAGTTTAGAGTTACAGTCATTGCAGCA